TCTGCGGCCTGACACCAACAGGAAAAAGCCCCCGGTGATCATCAGCCTTCCGAGGGACTTCCGCCCCGTCTCCTCCATCATCGATGTGGACATCCTCCCCGAGACGCACCGACGCGTTCGCCTGTACAAGCACGGCCAGGAGAAACCGCTGGGCTTCTACATCCGGGACGGCTCCAGCGTGCGGGTCACTCCGCAGGGCCTGGAGAAGGTTCCGGGGATCTTTATTTCCCGCATGGTTCCCGGCGGGCTGGCGGAGAGCACCGGCCTGCTGGCGGTCAATGACGAGGTGCTTGAGGTGAACGGTATCGAAGTGGCTGGGAAGTCTTTGGACCAGGTGACGGACATGATGATCGCCAACAGTCACAACCTCATCATCACCGTGAAGCCTGCCAACCAGCGGAACAATGTGGTCCGCAGCGGAGGAGGGGGGGGAGCGTCCGGCAGCTCGGGCCGCTCGTCGGACAGCGGCGCCAGCTACTACGGCTACTCGTCGCACGGCGCCGCGGCCTCCATGCCGTCGCACATCATACAGAACTTCCCCGCGGGGGAGCTGGAGAGCGACGAGGACGACGAGGACTTGGTGATCGAGGCAGGAGGCGAGGCGGAGCCCATCAGACGCGCCTCCTCCACCTACAGCATGTCCTCCATGCCCCGCTACGAGCCGCACCTCAACCTCCGCATGGCCGCCGCCGCCTCCACCTCCGCCCTCTCCACCTCCGCCCTCTCCGTCAACACCAACGGAACCCTGCCAGTCAGCGGCAGCAGCGGGTCGCTTAGCAACGCCATCGCCACGTCCACCATGCCGTCCCCAGACAGAGGAATGGAGAGGCGGAGTCTGGAGGAGGACGGCACTGTGATAACTCTGTAGGCTGGGCGCTCACACACTAAACACTGGAAACGGAGACAAACACCCACATGCTCTCAGAGTGGGGGTCAGATTATCTACAGGAACATCCTGCAGCATCACGCAGCGACTGAACCTGAGAAGCACAACGTGTACATATGAAACCTCCACATGTCACAACTACATGTCTACAGCAGGGTTATGGCCACATGTGAAAAGATACAATACTGACATTAATAATATGCAACTTAAATACATTATAAAAAAACATTCTGAAACTAAACTCTTTATTTTTAGAATTCTGACTTAATTCTCAAAATACTGACTCAAGAGTCCAAACATATATTTAGAAAATCAATTCTGACTTAAACTCAGACTTTTTCTCTCAGAATCCAGACTTTATTTAGGAAAGACATGCACTATTAAAATACATTCTGAATTATACTCAGACTTTATCCTCAGTATTCTGACTGGAGTCTGGACTGAAATACATTCAAACATTTCATTCTGACTTTAAACTCAGACCTATTTGTTAGTTTTCTGAGTTTTTATCTCACAATTCTGACCTTATTTGTTTTAATTATAAAAATACTTAAATGTAAAAAAACTGAAATAATTTTAATTCTAAGAATTGTAAATGTATTCAAGTTAGATCTCAATAGATATAAAAACATTATTTTAAAGATAAACTCTGACATGAAACTGAAATACTTTGTTCACATGTGTCCCTAATCCTCTTCCGTACTGTCAAACACTGCACTCCATACTTTTCTGCTCTACATGCCAATGTCCATGCATGTGTGCCATAATGGTGACCCCCCCTGCCCAGTTATGCAGGGACAAAACTTTCAGACAAAGAAGTGCAGAAGAAGTGTAATTTGATGCCCCCCCGCCCCCCTTCACTTCATATCTAACCCATGACAAGCACCTGTTGTTACCCTGATCTGACATCATCAGACCATGAATACTTGACTGTAGAAATTATGTTAGCAAGTGAATCCCCCCCCCAATAACTAACACACTGAAGCAGGTTTTTAGCTTTTAGCATTTGCTGACAATCTATTGGTGGTAGTGTGTTTGCCTTCTCCTCTCTTTAAACCTCCCCCCCAGGTGACCACAGCATGCGATTGGTAAACAGTGTTGGTACATTTCCACACAACAATCGACCAAGTGCTGAGATCTGCAATAATACTGTGTCTTTGACTGGAGGAGAGACCACCTAAAAAACAAGTCTGGGTTCTGTGTTAGCTCAGAGGCTTTTTTAAACCACTGTTTTCTCTTTTTACCCGCTATGTTAATTGATGAGTGATAATGAAAGGTTGATGATTTTGATAATTCTTGGGAGCAACTTTTGTTTTGAAAATCCCTTTACCATCAGGCCTGTGATTTATATCATGTGAATATTTTGTCTTTTTCTTCTTTTGTTTTGACACAATACTTGTACCTCACAAGTGACTGTAGGACCAGATGTATCCGACCAGCTGGAAGTCGCAAGTCACTCCAGTAGAATTAATTTCCCATTTCTTCATATTGCACTCCCTCTCCTTTCCCACGACAAGGGCTATTTCCCCTGCTGCGTGTGTACAAATGAAATAATGTGAATGTGATTTACTATTCTAGGTTGTTTGTTTTCTCTCTGGACCACAACTCAATATATCTTCCCTCAGTGCTGAACAATATATTCATCTCTGCTGCTCACTTGTACCGTGACATTCACATGTGAAAGGGTTCTGTCCAATATTAATGTCCCGCTTACTTTTGATGTCTTTATTCTCATTGAATTCAATAGTGACACACTCACAGAGAATGTTACCCAACAACTGTGTTCAGAATGCTAAATATTGACCTGATCAATAGCTTTACTGTAACACTATAAGCAAATCCAACCATAAGTGAGTGATAGATAACGTGTCAAGAGAGAAGCCACTTGTACCTGGTCAGATTGAGTCATATTTAAACAAGCACACATGCAGGTAGGCTAGGCCCAGACTGGTTCTCAGGCTGTGTTTGATAAAGGTGAGGCAGGCTGTCTTACATACATTGCTCTGATCTGCTTTGACTATTTCCATCCAAGTTGAGGCTCTTCTTAAATAGTCCCAAACAATGCTCCAATGGTCGTCCTCTCTGCAAACACTTGATTGACAGAATACATTTTAAGCATTTTTTTATTTTTATTTAAAGCAGCACTATGGAACGTTAAGCCCTTTGAAGCTAATTTAAATTTCCGGCTGAATAAATGAGGGCTGTTCCAATAAATTGGAAGTTTCAAAGCTACATTTGAATTCTATATCAGTTTTTTCAACTTCAGTTACAAACTTAACAGAAATACAATTGTCTTGTCTTACAGAGTTATTCTGAATTCACCAACAAATGTTCATAGTGCAGCTTTAAATATAATTGTTGTGACTTTAATAAATCATTTGGCTGATATAACCCCTTAGAAATGTGTTCTCATGCCATGACACATTTCCACAGAAAGAAGGGATTCTGGGCACAGTTTTCAGCTCTTGAAGCAGATCCATAACATTTATTAGAAGTACGTTTATGTCCATTAACATTACACGCTGCTGCTAACTGCCTTCCTGAAGAGAGAGCAGATGGTCTATTATTTCCCTTATTGATTTGTTCTTGCATTCACTATCTTGTTAAAGTCATATCATTGACTTCCGCATAGATTTTATCTTGCTAAAACATGAACTGGACACACAGATACACTCAGTAATGTGTATTGGCTTCAACTGAACCCCTGTGCACTTGTCTTGGAGCACATTCAGTAGTTATTTTGATTGCTTGAATATATCATGACAGTGAAAACCTATGACTGGAAACAGCCACATTTCTTTCATGGTACACACAGTTCTGATGGTCTTCTTTCATTCCCAACATTAATTAATGGTACTCTGAATGACACTTTTAGAAATCAATGTTAATTTATTTTCTTAATTTCTAACCTTTACCACAGGACACTGGGATTGTAACCACAGCGACGTTGTTATTTATTCTCTTATCATGCGCCTGAATATTTTTCTTTCTTTGTACAAATTGTATGACTTTATTTTTATAACTGATGTTTATTCGTGATTTTTTTTGGTCGTAAATCTCAGATGTTATTGCCCGATAGATGATTTCAGTAGGTGATTTTACCGGCATAAAGCACGTGTGCAAGACGTGGCACTATTTCTTTTTTCATACTGTGAATTATCATTAGCACAACCTTCAAAACAGGCTACTTGTCCTTTTTTTTTTTTAATGATTGAGCAATGATTTTTTTGCTTGCCAGATAAATCCTATGGTATAGATTTGTAATGAAGATTGTCAGTATTTTCATATCGATGCTATATATGATGTACATTTTTATCACATTTAATGAAAATATTTTAAGATTCAACTGGAGATGTATGAATTAATAAATGTACACTTGTAATTGCTGATTGGAGGAGCTGGTTGAAATAAAACTAATGTGTAGCCATTTTTGTCTGTTGTCAATGTATCGAAACACTTGTTTTGACCAAAACGATTATAAAACTGAAGCACATTAAAGGTAGGGTAGGTAAGAATGGAGAAACCAGCTCGAGTGCGCTCGAATTTGAAAGTAGCCTACGCAGCCGAAAAAAATCTGCCACTTCCTTACAGAGCCCCTCCTCCAACACACACGAACGCGCACATGACCAATGAGGGCACGAGATAAGTTTGTGCACGAGATGGAAGGCTGACAGGCAGGTAGGCCATCCAGTTATTTTAGCCGGGCTAAATGCTTTATTTATTGTCAAAGCATTTCATATATTCATTGCTATCGGGATGTTAAGAGCATTCCATGGAATATAACAAAGTGCTTCTGAAGTGAATTACCGACCCCACCTTTAAGAAAGGTACAAAGCATTTCAGCTTTTTGTTCTTTAAATGGCAAATATTTTGATGCACACGTTGATCAGAAATTAAAATAAAAGCACTATTTGCATGTTATATTTATATTAATTCTCTATTCAAATGGCAAGTCATTTTGGCATCGGCTGTTCGATGTCCATGCATAACATTTATGTATAGTACATTTAACAGATATTTGTCATGTACCTTCATAGTGGTGTTTTGGTGTCATCTGCAGGACATTTCAGGAATAGCGTCTTTTCTTTTCATCGGGAGCGCTTCATTTATCCCAGCGGTAATAGCGGCGAACTGTTGCTCAACTCGCCATAACGCGGGCTCGTTCAAAGCTCCTCCACTGTCTGTAATGTTACCCGGACACGATTACAATCTCGACTCTGGACGATGTATCGATAGCTTGAGTTACGTGTGAGACTTTCGCCCCCAGGGTACCCGCTCCTCAGGGGGCTGTTGTCAAAACCCAGACAGCTGAGAGTCACGTGACATGACGTGTAACCAGCATGGCGGCGCTGAGCTGAGGTAGCGACTCGACTGGACTGACACCGATAGCCTGTCTTTCGTTAGCTTCCCCTTGTCACCTGCTTACTCGCAGGGCCAGGCCGAGAATGACGGCCTGAGAGAGAAGCGGCAACACGAGCGAGAGATGCAGCAACAACACCAGCGGGCCCCACAGCAGCATAACTCACACTCAAAGGCAGAAAACAGCAAAACTAAGAGCATGTTTCTGTCCAGGGCGCTCGAAAAAATCCTCTCGGATAAGGAGGTGAAGAGGAGTCAGAACAGCCAGCTGCGTAAAGCCTGTCAGGTGGCTCTTGGTGAGTGTGTTTGTTTTGTGTACTGATTGGTGTTTTTATGTTGTGCTTCATTGAAACATTTCGGCCGCGTCTGGCTCGTTTGATAGACAGCGGTTAGCTAATGTTAGCGTTAGCATGGCCTTCACCGTCTGTTAGGATGTCCGTTGACGTTTACAGGTGTTCTCATAGTGTGTTGACATCACTTTCACATCTTTCTGGTAATTCTGCAGTGCTAACACCCTGCATTTACTCCACCGTCACCGCTGTCAACGTTGGCAGGTAAACAAGCTAGCTGTCGTTAGCTAGTTTCGGCTAGGTTAGCTTGCTAAACTGACCAATCCCTGTGTTGTACGTAGCACTGTCAGCCAGCCAGACAGCCCGGTCCTGCCACACACGCACACACACGCACACGCGCGCACACTCTATTACACAAACTCGCACTATTACACACAGACGGCAGGCCACCTAACTCCAGGATACTCTGACGCCCGTGCTTTTCCATTCAACTGAATCCAAGATAGTGTTACACATCAGGCTCCTCACTTAATTCATTGTCACATACTGCTTTTATATTTCAGTGTAAGCTGCCCGGTGTGCAGCTCCCTGTCATATATATTGTTATGAGATAACTGAAAACTATCTTGTTGGTGTAGAGGCTTTGAAAACATATGTTTCTATCAGATACAATTAGTTGGTATTATAAGTGTTTAGTGAGACTCATTATTCATGATCCCAGTATAACACAACACTCCTTTTCCCCTCCTCACACTACCAACGTGGGCTCTTTTGTGTGTCTCCACATGCATTTACATACTGACTGTCTGATGTTAAGGTTAACCCGTTGCAGGTTCATAAACATCTCCTTATGCTCAATGCTCTTCCATTCTAATATAAGTAGTCATACTGTTTAACGGCAGGCCATGGCATCTGTTGCTTCCATGATGAAATAGACGTGCTGTGGGAAAAGGGATTAGTTGCTAATGGTTGCTTTTAGTTCGTGCAGATAAGTACACTTTTATTTCTACATTCGAGATGGACTGCAAAGATTAGTCGACCAATTGATAAATAGAAAAATAATTGCCAACTGTTTTGATCTTTGGTTTATCATTTCAGTGTTTTTCTATGCAAAAATGGCAGAAAGTTCCTCCCAAATAGGATTCAAGGCTTTTTTTTCATAGTTCAGCTACAATGTAGATTTGGCAATGAAAACCTTATTTTTCTGTCACCTCCAACAATGAAAATACTTAAACATAAAAGGAATGCATTCAGGAGTCTGAACTGTGAAACAACTAGACATTTTAAGACACCCCCTGGACTAGAAAGGTTTTTTCTCCCAATATTTTCTGACATTTCATAACCAAATTATTATTTGAGAAATGATCTGCAGATTGATCCGTAATACAAATAATATGTATTTGCAGCCTTAGCTCAAACCATGAAAAAAAGCAACCAAGTTCACTTTTTTTCTCCCTGAAATGACACGCCATACATTTTGTGGTAATTACTGAAAATATAGCATCACTATAACAGCGTTTGTGAATATTACTCAACCTCATTTCCTCTTTTGTGAGTATGACTGTTGTGGTACTCGCCACCACATCGTTTGGGGATTGTATCCACTTGGTAGGGCTGCTAGATTATGGCAAAAATCATAATCTCGATTATTTGGGTCAATAATTGATATCACGATTATTAAAACCAATTATCCATTTACTTTGAAAACATCCATTTATTGAAAACAAAAATGTGAACAGTATGTTTTTAACAGTTGATTACCCTGAACCTTAAGTATAATTCAACTGAAAAACCAATAAAAAAGAAAGAAAAGATAATTTTTTTATTTCGATTATGTTGTTTTCATAATCGTTGCAAGCCAAAATCGTAATTGGGATTAAAATACGATGAATTGAGCAGCCCTACCACTTGGTTGGTCACATCTGGCTGGATGCACGCTGCGTTTGTGGCTTTGGATGGATAAGTGATGGATACAAAGTATGAAGAAATAGATTCAGAGAGTGAAACAGCCATTTTTGTTCAGGAATGAGATCTGCAATACCACATAGGGGTAGACAATATACAACAGTATTATTTATATAAACATGTGAGGTTGGAATCAAATCATTTCACACTGACAGGAGCTGAAAGGGTCAAAGTTCAGGCTTCACTAACGTTTAATCTCCTGTGTCTCCCTCCCTCCATAGATGAAATCAAGGCGGAGCTTGAAAAGCAAAAGTAAGTATTGTCAATTTGTCACCTACATACCTTTTTCTCTGACTGAGTGAATGCATTGCAGTGTCGTTTTCTTCTTTTCTTTTTTAATTTTTTATTATGACTTAAGGCAAATAGTCGAGTTAAGGTTGGCCCTGAAGCAGTCTGCAGTAAAACGAGTTATTCAGACTTCAAAAAGCCTTGAGCTGTAACCTGCTGACTCAAAGGCTCTGGGAAATTCTACAATATGAAAATATGTGTGAAGTACCTTTTTTTTTTTTGTGGAGCAGTGATTATGTATATGTATAGGCTGTACCAGAAGTTAGCACTGCAAGGGCTCTTTTGACATAAAGCAATGGGATCATTGTATTTCAGAATATTGCAGAAAATAAAATCTTTGGCAAACACACGTTTAGGATTTTAACAAGTTCTGTATACCAGGATAATCTCAAGATATTAATACCACTTTTATCATTTTTGCAGTGATAATGCAAGCAAAAAGGTAACTTCAGGCGATAAAGGAACTACATAATGGTGAAAGGACTGCACATCATCATTGCTAAGCTAAAGGCTGCTACTGTTCTGCGTGATGAAATGTCTCGTTTAGTCACTTGTTAGCAATCGCTGTTTTAATGAAACATAGACGCTTCAGTCATTTACCACTGTGTTTTTTACTGACATGTTTTATGTTGTAGAACAAAACATGAACATCTCTTCAGCTTATGTTAACCACAGACCCTATTTCAGGCATCTAACCAAACATGTTTGAGAAACATAGCCTCAAACACAGAAATGCTAACTTATTTCTGTGTTTGAGGACTCATTCCTGCACCTCTCCATATCTCTTCACATGATCTACTGCAGTTGTATTACAATGGTCCGTTTTCTGTGCTCCTTGATGCAGGGATGGCACCGTGGTCCCACCCAGAGCCAACTACATAGAGGCAGACAAATATGTGCTGCCCTTTGAGTTGGCTTGTCAGTCAAAGTCCCCCCGGATAGTGAGCACTTCCCTGGACTGTCTGCAGGTTAATATTCACACACACACACACACACACACACACACACACACACTCTCTCTCTCTCTCTCTCTCTCTCTCTCTCTCTCTCTCTCTCTCTCTCTACCACCCACTCTCCATCCTTTCATCTCTTAGGATCTCTCTGTAATTACTACACTTGTGTGGTCACATTGTTTATAATCCACCAAGTACATTCTGTGGGCTGTTAATGGAAAGCATTGAAGAGCATACATATACAAACTCAGATTTATCAACTATTAATTTTGTTGCATTATGTACCTCTTTTGTCTATTTCATTTCTTATTGTTACAATGAGTAATGTTTTAATCCGGACTAACCTATGGAAGGCAGCATTTATGAAGAAAAGTGCTGTATAAATGCAGTTTATTGTTATAGTACTAGAGCTGCCTTGTGGTAATGAAGACCCTAGTATTTTGGGGACTTTTTTCTCTAAACTTGACATTAAAAGTCTATATCTCCAAGACTCTGCACCTTTGATGTTTGACACATTTTATTTGAATACATTCTCCTTTTTTGGCCCAACTGTATAGAAGTGAAGTAGTAAGGCCCATACAGTATGGCCCTTTTTTCAAAACATGCTCACCTTTTGAATGAAATTAACTCCTAATTACGATGTAGACCCACACACACAGAAGTTACAAAATGTTCTAAAAGTAAGCGAACCAAACACACAGTGCAATAAACTCTAAACCAGGGGTCGGCAACCTTTTTGATATGAAGTGCCATTTAAAAAAAAAAAAATTGTTATCAGCGTGCCAACTATTGAGAATTATCAACGGGGGGTGGGAGTTGAGGAGCTTGACGCTCGTCAACTATCAGCAGGAGGGGCAGGGAGCCTCCGCTGCGGGAAGCAGTGTGTGGACCTGTTCAGCCGCAACTTACACGATGCCGAATTTAACAAACACATTTAAATAATTGTATTAAACGGTCATAATAATAAGGGACGATCGTTCCGTTCTGTGAATATACTCCAGAGAACACATGTTATGATATTAGACGGAGCCTGCAGTCATGCAGAGTGAGATTGAGATCGCTGTCCCTTTAAGAGATAGAGAGAGAGGGGTGCTGGCTTGTGATGTGTTTGTGGATGGTAGAGCGACAGTGAGCGCAGCATGTGTATGTTTACTGGAAGTGAAACGGGAAAGCAGAACAAACAGAGGTCCGTCCTGTGATGTATTTGGAGAGACAGAAGAACA